CCCCCCCCCCCAGTGTCCTTTTATGAACATCTACATCTATCTATTACACACATATAAATAAGCTCATATTATGCTTCATTGTTCTGGGATTTGTACTTTGTTTATTTTTCAAGCATTGTAGCGTTTGGAGATCTTTCCAAGTCGGTACGTATTGTTCTGTCGAATCTGTGCTTTCCCTGAGCCCTGTATCCTAGCAGGCTGCAGACATATTTGTCACAGCCACAGGCGTTGGTGTGACCAGAGGATGGGCTGGGACTTCCTTTTTTCATTTCCGACTGCCGTCGTGTAGTTAAGAGTACGGAGCCTGGATGCTGACAGGCTGGCGTTCCGTCCTGGCTTTGCCACTGTCCGCACGACCTAGGCAAGTGGCTTCACCTCTCTGAGCATTATTTCCTCATCTGCAAAAGCAGGGGGGTGTTAAAAGTACTTACCTGATAGGGTGGCGGTGAGGAGCAAATGAGGTGACACGTGTTTGGCATTTAGCACAGTGCCTGGTACAAGGCAAACACTCCAAAATGTTACCTATCATTGACATATACAGTGCTGTGCTGTTCTAAGCCATGCTGGGGTGAACGTCCCTGTGCATCTGGTTTCTCCCCATTTCAGGTGATTTATTTGGGCCACATGCCCAGAATTAGGATTCCGGGGCCTGAAGCGTTTTGAGGGGCTTGCTTGAGCTCTGTGGTGGCGCCAGGTGCCCACCTGCCTTGACCGGAAGCAGCCCACAGCTGCCTCCCCCTCCGGGCCCCATCCTTGACTCAGCCGGACAGCTTCCCAAACAACCCGTTGCTATGGCAACTGGTTCCCAGCTTCAGGCCAAGAATTGAGAGGGGGCTGTGACAGGGACGGATGGGTGGCTGAGGTCAGGGCTGAGTGGGGTGCGGGCAAGCGTGGGCAGAGAGTCCAGCCGGTCTGGGACCCTTGCAGTGACCTAGCACCTTCTGCTGGAGGCAGCCTGGCTCGCGCTGGGGGCTGACAGGTGGGTTCGAGATTAGTCTCTGCTTCGCACTACAGGGTCACTTGCGATGGGAGATGTCTGTTCTCTGAGTCATAGCGGCTTCCTCTATGAAATGGGAATCAGGTATGAGAGGCTGGCTGTGTTGTGTTCTTCTGGTGTGAAATACAGGGGCTCTGTCCTGAGCTCCTGGCCAGTGAGGTCTGGAGCCGCTTTGCAGATGGAATAGCAGGTGATGTGGGGAGGGCAGCTTTGCCAGGGCCCCCCTGCTCTGCTCGCCAGAGCCGGGGAGGTACCTCTGGCCCCACCCAGGTGTCCAGGCTCAGGTGCGCTGTCTGCAGCTTCCAAGTGTCGGGATGTGTGCGAGAGGAGCCTGTCTTTCTAGCAGGTGGTAACCTAAGAACAGCTCTTTTTTTACTGGGTGCTTACCAGTGAGAGCGTGCATACCAGGAACTTCACATGACGTTACCATCTCATATTTAATCCTCACAGCAGCATTAAAAGTTAGTGTTAAGGGGTGCCTGGGTGGCTCAGTCGGCTGAGTGTCTGACTTTGGCTCAGGGCACCATCTTGCAGTTTGTGGGTTCGAGACCTGCGTCAGGCTCTATGCGGATAGCTCAGAGCCTGGAGCCTGCTTCAGATTCTGTGTCTCTCTCTGTCTCTGCCCCTCCCTTCCTCATGCTCTGCCTCTCTCTCTCTCTCTCTCTCTCTCTCTCTCTCTCTCACAAAAATAAGTAAACCTTAAAACAAAACAAACAAAAAACCAAAACCAGTTTCCTTTAAAAAAATAAAAACAAAGATAAATAAATATCAATAAATAAATAAATATGAGTGTTAATACTCCTGTTTGGGATTCAGAGAAGTTAAGTGATTCAGTCAAGGTCACACAGCAAGTAAGTGGTGGAGCCAGTATTTGAATCCAGGCCCGTGGGATTCCAGAGCCTGTGCTCTGAGCCAGGCTATGGGATTTGGATTTTTATGGGGCTTTATTATAATTTGTTTAACAAGCAGGGGGGCTCCTCCAGGGATCTCATGGTCCAATGGGGGGTGGTGAACAAGTAACCAGAGGTAGGGACTGAGGCCCGGCAGACCTTAGATACCCAGAGGGCAATTGAGTCTACCTTGGGGAATGGTGGGTGGGAGGGTTTGAGGTAGGGTAGGGTGGAGGAGCTGGCTGCCTGAGTTGGGTCTGGGCAAAGGAAGTAAGTGTTCAGCAGGCAGAGAAGGGTAAGAAGGACATATCAGGAAGAGGGCAGAGCATGGGCAAAAGTACACAGGCAGAAGGCAGCTTGGAGTGTTACGGGAGTGGAGCAGTAGATGGGGTCGGGTCTCGAGGGGAGGAGTGAGGTGGGGAGA